AAGAAAGGAAGGAGAGAAAGACAAGAAAGAAAAAGAAGGGAAAGGGAATATAAGAGAAAAGGAAGGAAAAGAAAGGGGGGAGGAAGGAAGTAATAGAAGGAGAAAAGGAATATAAGAGAAACAGAAGGAAGAAAGGAATGGAAGGAAGGAGAGAAAGACAAGAAAGAAAAAGAAGGGAAAGGGAATATAAGAGAAAAGGAAGGAAAAGAAAGGGGGGAGGAAGGAAGTAATAGAAGGAAAAAAGGAATATAAGAGAAACAGAAGGAAGAAAGGAATGGAAGGAAGGAGAGAAAGGCAAGGCAAAGAAAGAGAAAGAAAGGAAAAAAGAAAGAAAGAAAAGGGGGAGGAAGGGAGGAAGAAAGGAAGGAGAGAAAGACAAGACAGAAAAAGAAAGAAAGAGAGGAAAGGGAATATAAGAGAAAAGGAAGGAAAAGAAAGGGGGGAGGAAGGAAGTAATAGAAGGAGAAAAGGAATATAAGAGAAACAGAAGGAAGAAAGGAATGGAAGGAAGGAGAGAAAGGCAAGGCAAAGAAAGAGAAAGAAAGGAGAAAAGAACGAAATAAAAGGGGGAGGAAGAAAGGAAGGAGAAAGACAAGACAGAAAGAGAAAGAAAGAAAGAAAGAAAGAGAAAAGGGGGAAAGGGAATATAAGAGAAAAGGAAGGAAAAGAAAGGGGGGAGGAAGGAAGTAATAGAAGGAGAAAAGGAATATAAGAGAAACAGAAGGAAGAAAGGAATGGAAGGAAGGAGAGAAAGGCAAGGCAAAGAAAGAGAAAGAAAGGAAAAAAGAAAGAAAGAAAAGGGGGAGGAAGAAAGGAAGGAGACAAAGACAAAGAAAGAAAGAAAGAAAGAAAAGAGATGACATTTCGATCAACTCATTGCAAGAGATTAACTGGGGTCCTTGGTGCTCTCTGAGCTTAGTGGTTTCCTTGCAGGCGTTTCATAACCCAACTAAGTAATATCATCAGCTAGAAGGGAGAGGTGTTTGTGGAGAGGAGGAAGAGAAGCAGAGAGAAAGGGAAAGAAAGAAAGACAAAGAGAAGAAACGTGCTTGGTGCTTTCTGAGCTTGGCCGTTTTCTTGCAGAAGTTTCACCACCCAACTAGGATCGTTTAAACTTTCCAGCTGGGTCTATACCTGGTGGTCTCCCATCTGAAGACTGCTTAGCTTCCCAGCTTCCCAAATACAGCGCCCCCTAACGAAGTCTCTTCTTTCCTTCTCTGCAGTGTGCCTTCAAGACAGTGTCTTGGCTTTCTGGAAACATGGCATGCAAGGCCGAAGCCTGGAATCTAGTGAGGTGAGTAAAAGCACAATGGAAGTCTTTTGCCATAAAATAATAGTACAGTGAGTGGCTCAGTGGCTAAGACGCTGAGCTTGTCGATCAGAAAGATTGGCAGTTCAGTGGTTCGAATCCCTAGCGCTGCGTAACGGAGCAAGCTCCCGTTACTTGTCCCAGCTTCTGCCAAAATAGTTTGAAAGCATGTAAAAAATGCAAGTAGAAAAATAGGAACCACCTTTGGTGGGAAGGGAACAGCATTCCATGCGCCTTCGGCGTTGAGTCATGCCGGCCACATGACCAGGGAGACGTCTTCGGACAGTGCTGGCTCTTCGGCTTTAAAATGGAGATGAGCACCGCCCTCTAGAGTCAGGAACGATTAGCAAATATGTGCAAGGGGAACTTGGAAACAACCAAATGATGTTGTTGCTTCCAGTTAAGAACTTGATTCTTGCAACATTCGTGTGGGAATGTCCACAACAGACTGACCCACGAATCATTCAGAGTCAGCCTTCTATGCGATGAAGACCCCAGGCGGGCCACCGAAGGCTCAATAAGGATTAAATAATTTGAGAGTTTGCTGAAGATCCCAACTCCATCCCTTTGTATGTTGGTTTTTAACATTTATCTGGCATGGTACCCGCTTGAGGGTTGGACTAGATTAGATAGATTAGATAGATAGATGAGAGAGAGAGAAAGAGAGAGAATAACAGACTAACAGAGTTGGAAGGGACCTTAATATATATATATATATTTTAAAAAGCCAAATACCACTCACTCATCATGAAATGTCCAGAACTGTAAAGCCTACAAACTTGAAATTCAGCACATATGTTCCTCTTGGCTTTTAGCTGCTCACTTAGAAAGGATTTTTTGAAATCAGATCATCAGTATTTCTTATATAGTATTATATTAACGCTCTCTGATGCTACGGAGTTAGATGTTCTACTCTCCCTCCTCACCTGAAAGGAACTCTGTTCCAACTGCCAGTTGCCTTATTATGGGCGTGGCCAGCGCATGACTCATCCTGCCTGCGGGCTGGGAGTTTAGACGTTCTACTCCCACTCCCCACCTGAAAAGAACTCTGTTCCAACTGCCAGTTGCCTTATATTAACACGCTCTGATGCTAAGGAGGTGCACAGTCTACATTAATTTTCAAGCTTTAAGTGTCCATGTATCAAGCCCAATCACATTGTTTCATAGTGAAGCAGGGGCATCCAGGTAGTGTTTAATATTTTAACGTTGGTACAATATTTGCTTTTACAATGCTATGAGCTTCCCAGAGTTGCTGGACAATGAAATGGGTGGTATATACATTTAATAAATAAATTGTTTTGCTCCCCCACCAGGTGACCCAGGAGGTCACAGACGAATCCAGGGTGTTCCGAGTCTTGGGTGGTCACAGGTGAGCTGCTGATAAAGAGGTTTCTAATTTGCACATCTTTGCTCCCACTTCACCCCCCCATTTCCACGACCGATCCCTATTGCACATTGCAAGGAAGGAAAACCGTTTCTTATTTGAGTTAGAAAGATGCCAGCCATTGCAAGAATGCCCTGTTGTTCTGGTTATTCCGGAAGCATTCCAAGCTCAAAATCCCTCTTCCCACTTAAGACGGGCATCGGAGAATTCAGAATCTTTCTGGTAGGTGGAGGAAAAATCCCTCTGAGGTGGAATAATGCAGTCGGAAGTCTGAAACGTCCCACTTTTTAAACATTTTGCATTTTGCAATTATGCGTAATTCTCTTGACAGTCCGGAAATCTGCTTTGTGACCTGTTCAGAGTCACAACTTGGCATGAATTAAGTGTGGGCCTTGTCCTGATTCCTTGGCAGCCTCTTGCAAAATCAGGAAGGCAGTGTAGATAGATGGATGATCCCTGGACCAGTGTCAACAATTTTAGGATATGTGGATTTTATCTCCCAGAATTCCCCAGTAACATCCTCTTAAGGCAGTGGTTCCCAAACTTGGCAACTTTAAGACTTGTCGATTTCAACTCCCAGAATTCTCCAGCCAGTCTTAAAGTTGCCAAGTTTGGGAACCACTGTTCTTAAGGCATGGGTGGATTTCAACTCTCAGAATTGCTGACTGGAGAAATCTGAAGTCTTCATATCTTAAAGCATGCTGGCTGGGGAATTCTGGGAGTTGAGGTCCACCCATCTTAAAGCATGGTGGCTGGGGAATTCTGGGAGTAGAAGTCCACCCATCTTAAAGCATGCTGGCTGGGGAATTCTGGGAGTAGAGGTCCACCCATCTTAAAGCATGTTGGCTGGGGGATTCTGGGAGTTGAAGTCCACCCATCTTAAAGCATGCTGGCTGGGGAATTCTGGGAGTTGAAGTCCACCCATCTTAAAGCATGCTGGCTGGGGAATTCTGGGAGTTGAAGTCCACCCATCTTAAAGCATGCTGGCTGGGGAATTCTGGGAGTTGAAGTCCACCCATCTTAAAGCATGTTGGCTGGGGAATTCTGGGAGTAGAAGTCCACCCATCTTAAAGCATGTTGGCTGGGGAATTCTGGGAGTTGAAGTCCACCCATCTTAAAGTATGCTGGGTGGGGAATTCTGGGAGCTTACGTCCACCCATGTTAAACCTGACATGGTTGAGAAGATTTGAAGTTCTGAGGTTATAGGTGGAGTTAAAAGTCCACCTGTATTCAGGGATTCTGCCCAGGGAATTGTGGGATTCAGACATCTTAAAGCATGCTGGATGGGGAATTCTGGGAGTTGAAGTCCATCCATCCTAAAGCATGCTGGGTGGGGAATTCTGGGGGTTCAGGATTCAGGATTCAGGAGTTTATTTGTATGCCGCCCTTTTCCCTGGGGGGACTCAGGGCGGCTCACATCCGAAAGGGGTTGAAATCCACCCATTTTAAAGCATGCTGGCTGGGGAATTCTGGGGCTTGAAGTCCACCCATCTTAAAGCATGCTGACTGGGGAATTCTGGGAGTTGAAGTCCGCCCATCTTAAAATGGCTAAGGTTAAGAAACGCAGCCCTGGATTGACACTGCTTCCCTTGCTCATCGCCCCTCCCTCTTCCCCCCTTCTCTGCAGGGACATCATCCTTGAGAGCACCCCAACCGACAATCCCACGGCGCAGAGCAACCTCTACATCCTGACGGGTCACGAGAGCAGCTACTGACTTTCCTCCACTCCCAGGCCCTGCGCAGGCAATGTGGAGCCTTCCTGAGCCGACGGCGGCAACGTCCCGGAATCGGAGATGCTCTGGGTGGGCGTTGACAGAGGACAGCTCAGATGGTCCTGGATCCTGGACCGAATGCTGGTTGGGCACCAGAGATGGTCTTGGCGCCTGGCTGGCCCTGCTCCCCATATTCGGGGCCAACGTTTCTTGAGATAATTCTGCAATAATTCAACCGCTTGGCAGTTCGGGAGAAACTCGCACCAGGATCCCGGCTGACACCTTGTGCCTGCTTCGATGCTTCTTCCTTCCCCCGCCCCGCCTCTTCCTCTTCCTTTAAAATGTCTAGATGGTGTGTGGGTGCCACATCTTGGCACTCCCGACAGAGTGAAGACAATCGTTTGCCACGGGTATAAGAAGCCACCTTCCTTCTTAAGCTTCAGCTTTTACGTCTTCAGGGCACATTGAAGTTCTGGGCTGTTATTCCGGAATAAGGGGCGAGGGATAAATGTTTATTTTTTGGGGGGGGCAGCCAGCTGGAGAAATTTAGGGCCCCACCCAGGACGAACGAAACCGGGTTTAATGGAATGGATGTGATAGTCAGGGGTGAAATCAACTTACCTTTGGTCCAGTAGCAGTGTAAGTGATTGCTCGCTTGCGCCACCTCTGCAGATGCACGGGACCTCCCACGCATGCACAGAGCATTACAAACGGACATAATGATGTCCGAGAAATGGGCGGAGCCTGCTACCAACCGCATTTGCAAAAGTGAACGAACAGTGGGTGGGGGGAAGGGGAGAGAATCCACTGTGCCACGCCATTTAGATTAGCTAGAAAGCAGGAAATCCTGTTTCCTGGCTAATAGAAATTGCGCGTCGCAGCCGATCGTCGGAAATACCAGTTTGCCTGAATCGGTAGCATTTCCTTTACTGCCGGTTGGGACGAACTGGTAGCAATTTTACTACCGCTTCAGTTGAACCAGTCCGAACCAGTAGCATGTCACTCCTGCTCTGCGTTTGTCTGTGGGGAGGGGGAGGTAAGAGTAATTGTGGTTTTGTGTTTTATGTTTTTTAATGACTATTTTGAATGGCTAAAGGAGATGCTAGGTGATTCCGATTCCAGTTTGGAAACCAGATCAATGGTTCTACAGATGCCAACTCCCAGAATTCCCACAGGGAATAGCCATGGCTTTTGCTAGAAAAGAATTGATCTACGTATTTCATGTTATGGGGAACAATTCAATTTTAAGAACCCCGATGTGCGTGAGTGCNGCAGCTCAGTTGAAGCAGTTGTGAGATGGTGGGAGTGGGTGTCTGTTTTTTTTTAAGTGGGTGGATTTGGTTTTTGGCATGTAAAGTATTTTCTTCTACGAAAAAAAAAAAGGGAATTTGCAAGCACTTCTGGCTAATGTTACAATGAAATGGCACTTTGGAGCAAAAAATAACCCAAGTTACAATTGACCTTTAAGCAAAATGTGGTTGGGCCCTCATACTTTAATATATTTCTAATTCGTATCAGTCCTGTAAATAACAGTATTAACTATCTGAGAAGGACTTTAAAAATTGGCTAATCTTTTCAGTGATGGCATTCTGCGCAATGCAAGTTGCCTAACATTGGTTTGGTTTTTTGGATGCTTAGTGAAGCCATTTTTACTGATAATCTGTGAGCGTATTTAGATTTGTGCTCTTTACTTTTTCACACTGCTTTTTGATATTAAAAAACATTTTATTTGATTAACAACATATTAAAAGTAGCTGTGGTTAGCTACACAGGCTAGTCCTATTATGGCTGTGCCTTTTGCATTGTACCATGTCAGTTTCACACCCACAGATATTGTCTAGGTAATAGTCTATAAATGCCATGTATTTCACTCACTGTTTCCTTCCCACATGCATATTTTATCCTTGCATAATGAGTGCATACATCATGGATGTGCAGCTTTCATTTACGTTAGTCTGGTTTATGCAGAAGAATTTCTTCTTGAGTGGATCCAGTAGGGTCTTTGAGGCATTCCTGACCCAGAAGCCTAGCTCATGAAAGAGGCACATGCTTTTTCTTGTGCACACATGTACATGCAGAGGCATGAAAGACCACGCTATTTATCCGCCAACAACTTTTCAAAAGCTAGCTCGGGTTGCTAAGTAACAACCATATAGTTTGCTGCTCGCTTACAAAGCGCCGTGTACTTAAAAAGTAAGGGAATTAATAGCCGAGGACATTCTAAACCTAGTGTTGACTTTCTCATGTTTTTTTTTTTAATTAAAGCAAGGAAATAATGTTATGCCAACAGATTTCTGTGCTGGGTATCTAGCCTCTAAACGCATCAAATTTAGGGCATCCCTCTTTGAGTGAGGAATGGAGTCAGACTTCTGTTTCTGATTATTTCTTAGATATTAAATCACCTGTTTCCAACAACTTTCATCCAATCTCCAAGTTTGTTGGAAGTTTTTATGGAAGTTTGTTGAAAAAGTGGTTGGGCTGCAGAGTTCCTTGGGGAAACAGATACTTTGGGCCCATTTCAGTTGGATTTCAGACCTGGACACAGTATGGAAGCAGCACTGGTTATATTTGTTAATGACCTCTGTGGAACCTGGACAAGGACAGTGGTTCTCTTTGATCTCTCAGCAGTTTTTGATACCATCAATCATGACATCCTTCTGGACTGATTACAAGAATTGGGAATACACGTGGTTCTACGTTTTTCTCTCTGTTGTTTGTTCCTTTGGTATTAATGGGGGGGAGAGGCTGAACCTGTGACCCCTCACTTATCAAGCTTGATAAGCTCACCACTTCTATTTAATGTTTCTATGTAATGTTTATATGGGTGAGATCATTGCTCAGTTTAGGATCCAGAGTCATCGATAAACTGATCTCAACCCCAGGCTGCCCAAGAAATATTGCCAATTATTGGAATAGCAATAATGCTTAGACTTATATACCGCTTCATAGTGCTTTACAGCACTTTCTTAGAAGTTTACAAATGTGAGCATATCCCCCCCCCCAACAATCTGGGTCCTTATTTTACCGACCTCAGAAGGATGGAAGGATGGATCAACTTTGAATCCCGTCAAGATCGAATTTCAGGCTGTGGGCAGAGTCAGCCTGCAATACTGCACTTTAACCACTGCGCCACCATAGTTCCTTCTTATCCCAGTGTCTGGAGACGAGACTCTGCAGGTATGGATGGGGGGGGGATGGGTTGAAACCAGTGGTGTTTCAGAAATTGTTGGAACCTACTCTGTGGGTGTGGCCTCCTTTGTGGGAGTGGCTTGCCACCCGTGTGACCGGATGGGAGTGGCTTGCTGCCCATGTGACTGGATGGGAGTGGCTTGCTGGCCATGTGACTGGATGGGAGTGGCTTGCTGCCCATGTGACCAGATGGGAGTGGCTTGC